AGGACTTTCATCATGAAGTATTTTACATTTGTTGACAATTAATGTTTTTAAAATGTTGCAAGTTCCCAAACTTTGGAGAAATTTGTAGATGTTTTATAGCCTAGAGTATAGAAATGGGATTTTGCAACTTTGTAATGCAACAAAAGGATTTGTAATCACCACATTTGAGTGCCAATACTTATATTGCAATAGTTGCTACATCTATACTTCTTCTATGTGCTTGTGTATAATCACATAAAAAAGGCCCCTAATCCTTGGGAGATTTGTGAAAATCCATGCAAACCAAGTTTATCCCTTTGCTCTTGGCATATACTATGAGAGAGAGTTCTATAAAGTTTTTCTACTTCTTCTTTACTAATGCATATCCTACATCAAACATCTCTTCCCTTGTGGACATCATTTGCACCAAACCCTAAAACAAAACACTCACAACAAACTGCAACTAATTCTTATTTCTTTCCTATTCATTGTTGCTTGTACATGCTGACCTAGTTATAGATTTTAACACATTCCCACAAATTTGCACAACACTCAGATATTGATAAAAGAGTAGGAGACAAAATGTGCCAAAAAAGGTAGCTCCAAAATCTGTGCAACATACAATTTGGACCCCAAAATGCACCTAAAAAGGAAAGAATGGTAATATTTTATCACATTTGGAGATAGATTTGCAATTCTCACAAAAATAAGGAATAGATTTGCTATTACCAAGAATCCAAGAGTAATTTTAATATTTCAACATATTTCAAGGATACATATAATATTTTTCCTTAAAAAAAATTATGTTTTTTATTTCAATTAAATGTTTGTTGCATTTCAATCTAATTTTATTTATTTATATTTCTTGTTGTTTGAAAATTCCAAAAATACATACTACTACACCACATTACATTAAATTAAAATGATAGAAATAAGTGATTTGGAATAAAAACTATTTTTGAAAAGAATAATTTGTGATTTACAAATATATAGCATGGTTTCCAAAAAATACAATGAGCAGCATCAAAGTAAGATCAAATATTACTGGATGAGACATTACAAAATGCAATACTTACTTCCAAAAAAAATAGTTATAAATATAACATAACAACACTTTGAACCACATTACGTATTGATCAACTTCCCTAAACTTACATTGCACCAATTTCACAACCCAACCCAATGATCATTTCAACAAACCATGAGAGAATTGCATAGGATGGAAGACCACTCCATGGAAGCACTAATGAAAATTGGCAACATAAATACAATCCCTAGCAATAATGTGTTGCCAACTATCAAAGGCAAGACGAATCCAACAAACGCACAAGATGACATCTATTGCATTGTAGTAAAACGATCACCAAAACCTCCAAAATTGCATCAACAGTCATGTGCTGAATCCATCCTGATCACAAGAACATTAAGCCAAACCTAGAGCCACCACACCATTCAAACCAACCAGACCACGAAAAAAGGTATTAGGACTCATCAACTCGGACAATCATCATGAGATCGGTAATCTGCAACAACTGAACCTAAACAACAATAACCAACTCGAATACCTCCTGCTGCTCTCGATTCAGAAGCAATTCCAATCTTTACTGCACGGGGTCCACAACACTGGACAATACTCCAGCGCACTCGCGAGTGCCCCTCCCACGTTGCCAAGGTATCCTTGCTCCGCAAAACAATTCTGCCTCTCAAATAATGGTTCCGTCTCCACTACTCTATCATCTACAACGGACAATCGCCTGTCCAATGTCGCTCACACCTACTTCTCTATCAACAACAACCCACCCTCCAAATTGCTCCACTCCCCCCCCCCCCCACCTAATGCCCCCATCCTATCCACAATCACGGCAGAAGTGCCACCAAATTGCAC